GCTGAACAAGGCAAAGGTGGCACCGCGCGCCGTGAACAGCACTAAAGAACCAATGCGCTAACCAAACATCAGAGAAACGGCAGCAGACGGAACCTGTACTCGTCCCTTCAGTCACCTTTCCTTGTTTCTTATCCCTGATCCCAGAGCCCTGCTCTGATAATTACAGGGGACATGTGACAAAGTTTGTATTTTTAGTCTGTATTTTTATTTTATTTTTTACTTTTCTCGTAAATATTCTGTAGGAAATCTTTCAAACTGAACTCTAGCTGAAGTATTTCCTTGTGAAGTCCGTTTTTATCATTGAGCTGTTTTTTAATGATAAACTACATACATTAAAATCAGTCATTATTTAGATTCCAATTCTCTTTTAGCAGATACATCTTCCTGCATTTTGCAAATTGGAGTTAACATACTATCCATGCAAGACTGACTGCATCTGGGCATGCGTGGACTGGAAGAGGTGATCGAGACCCCCATCATTCTCCCTGCTTCCACTGAAGCCAGGAGCACACACATTCCCGTTTGAATGAACTCAGTAGAAGAATGGGACAAATGCAAAACCTTGACTCATGAAGGGGAGGGCTGAATGCAGTTTTTATTCTACAGTTTATTGGAGGCCCTTTCATGTAACTTTCCATGCACAAACATGGTCAGCACTTTGCAAAAACCTACCACCTGTCTGCCTGTAGCTATTAATATGCCTAACTATGGAAGTTGGTAAAAAGATAAAAAATTTAAATATAAGAACTTAATGACAGAATAGTTAAGAATAATTAGGGTTACTATGTCACACCTGAAATAAAAGAATGGAGAGTAAAAACAGAACTATATATTATTACTGTGTTCTCTACGCCATCTGTAAAGTACCTGGGTTCACCCCGGTAACTTTTAAGCACTCGTAGGGAGGCTTGTGTCAGATGCTTAGCTGTACTATTCTCCTTCTGAAGACATGAAGGCATCTAGTATACGATCTAGCATCAAACTGTTGGGCTCTACTTTTGCTCCGAGCTCCAGTCTTTCATTAATTTACAAGGCATCCTTGTTTCCTCTGCAGGTCTGGCTTGAAAAGCTACAATGCAGCAGTGTTTATAATCACCCTCAGTCTGAGCTGATACCTCTTAATGAAAAAGAAAACTTCCGAAGACTTCAAGAAATTAAATGCTTTTTCTCTTTAATCTGGTGGGGGAGCAATAATAGTAGAAAACACATCAGATAAAATAATCAAACCTTCATCAGGATTAACACCTCTCTATCAGCTGCTGTTCCAGAATTGTGCTGGGCTTCAGTGCAGGGCTTGCCAGCCCTGTGCAAGTCTTTTAGCTATACTAGGTTTGAGTAAATACATCAAATGTCCTGATGTTACGGTGACCAGAACCGGCCTCAATACTCCACTACCTGTACTGCCTGGGTTCCCACTGACCAGAGGAAGCCTAGACACAAACCACACATGAAGATGCCTACAGTCACTTGCCTCAATCCAGATCTTAGGCCCACCAGGACCATCAAATAAGCCTGGAGCGACTTAAACAGAACTTGGATGGACCTAAGACTTTGCTACTTCAAGTAGAAACAGAACATTGTGAACCTATTTTCAGTCATTTCTATAAATCATACCACTGTGTAACTGCCAGGATAGAGCACCACAGAAACAGCAAGAAAATCAGGAAAAGCTGGAGATACTGTCTTGTTCAGAAGAGATTATCTTCTGTTTGACACTGACCGCAATCAGACAGGATCCCAAACAACTGGTCAGATTTGGGAAGGCCTCCTTTGGACTGGCATATCCTCACTATGAGATTTCTCTGAGTTTAATTTTTATGAGAACAGAGTCCTCACTTCAGCAAGTTGCTTTGAACATGCGTGTTGTTTCATAAATAAATTTGCTAAAAAAGTCATAACAGGAGTTATGGTAAATAGTGACAAGATAAAAAGGAAGGAATTCCCCATTACAGTTGGAAGATCACTTAGGGACTTTGTATTTCAAGTTTAACAGATTTTATTTGCCTGCTTCAAAGTAGAGTTTCCTTGCAAGTCTAGTTTGAAGTTTTAAAATCTTCTTTTTCTCTGGGCCTAATTTTGTGGTGAACTGATGTAAAATGTAATTGCTTAGGGAAGAACAGTTGGTTTTTCTCAGGAGGCAGCAGCCTTGAAGGATCAGGACACTTTTTGCATTCCTTCAAGCAAGGAAATACTTCTCACGAACTTGGCCCTCCCTCAGAACTTGCTGTACACAGGGCACCTGGAAGGAGGCACAGCCTGGAAAACTGACCAAGGGGCTAACAGAGAGGCCAGGGCACCTTGTCACCACACAGAGGCTCCTGCATGAACCAGCCCAGAACCGGAGAGCTCTGAGGCATCTCGGAAAGTCGCATGTGCCAAAGCTCTAGCAAATTCGAACAAACAAAAATATACACCCAGAATTAACTTCACGCAGATTAATAAGGCACTTCAAATATAGTTAGAAAATGAACTCCTTGTTGCTAATTATTGATCAGTCTCAAAGCTTTCTTAGCATTTACTCTAACTTGAGCGCTCCTGATTAACTTAGTAAGTACATATATAGTTTCTTGTTTGCACAATTGAATCCTACTACTACTTAAACTATTAAGTCACAGATCTACTACAGAATAATCACAGGCCATATCTGTTGCGCTGAAAGAAGCAAATATGAACATGGATATTCAACAGTTAATAGTAAACTATGTTTGCAGGCTATCTACACAGATAAATCTACAATATATTTTAAGTATTTTGTTACTGCCACATAACAAAACAACATTGCAAAAAAAATGAGAAGTTTAAAAGAGTCAAAAACATAAGAATCATTAAATATCAAATACAGATCAGTTGACCACATGCATCAAAATTAATGCTTAGCATCTAAGTGTTTCCTGAGTTAATTAGATCAGTAGAGGGAAGTTCTGTCTTTATCCTCTGCTTTTAAGAAAGTCTGTTTATAGCACTTAATATTTTATGCTGGTAATTATCAGTATTCCGACTACAGGAAAAAGCTTTACTTAATTAAAAGAAGTCTGGAAACATATCCTTAAGAGGTGCAGAATCTGAGACAGGACTAATGGAAATCCTTGGAACTTAATGCCAGAACTGACTCCCTTTAGATCTCCTGCATTTTTATCTTCAACACAGACTTTGCAAGTTGCCTCTTCCTCAGAGCTCCTCGGAGGTTTCTCTTGGTACTTTGTGAATGCAGATACCCTCTCTACAGTAACTGAAGGTAATTCCAGCAGTAGCTTTGTGAATCAGACCGACCAATTAAAAAAGCCCGTGTCTCTTCAGCATTCCCTGAGAGTATCCAAAAATAATATTCAAAGACTTTAAATTCCTTTTCCCATTCTTTAGAGGGTCATTTGTGATAATATTTCTGTATTTTCGCCAGGATATTTTTTTTTGTCACTTCAGGCAAAGAGATGAATTGCTGTATTCTCTACACACCGAGTAATCTCCACATTGTCTCAAAATTTGGAAGAGATTTTTCCATTTCCTTAATGCATTCCAGTACAAAAGTGCACATGTACAGAGATATGATGAATAATTTATATTATTTAATTATACAGCATGGTTCATCCAATACTTAAACCAGGTTTTGAGTATTATTCAAATTGCAGTGATATAGATAATTAAAATCAATAATTAACCTGTTTACAGAAGCAAGAATTAGTGCTTCAAGTTCACATCATCTAAGTGCAATGAACATAAAGTTGATATTTTGATCTTTTTTTCTGTGTACCTTTTACTATTTTGCTTTTTGTAAAACCAAGTGTTTTCAAAATCTGTTATAAATATTTCAAGTAACAGAGTATCCGCTAAAGGCATATTTACAAGTTACAAATCTATTAAGGTATATCCTATAACATTGAATTTCAGAAGTGAGTTGCATTTTTCCACTCCTTGCACAATTTATATCTTAATCTGTGGCAACACATCAAATTTAACCATGTTTACCATACATGTTATTACAATTCAATTTCAGAATTCTGACTACGACTTTCAATCAAAATTTGTCTCTAAGATTTAGTCTTAAATATCTGACCGAAATTTAATTTTAGAAATTGGATAAAACACAAATAAACGCCTTTAAACTATTGACACAAATACTTATACATCACTAATCTGGTATTCAGGAAATCAGAATATACAAGACTTCAGAAGTCCAGCAGTGAAGTAATAAACAAGACAAAAACAATCGTCTCAGACGGCAGACTTGGTGCGTAAAGGAGCCTTGCCTGAGCCCGCACAGAAACTGCTGAATTAACTCTTCGTAGGCATTGCAAATTACACCTTTTGCAAAAAAATGAGTCTTCCAGATTCTGATTTACAAGTCTCCCAGATTCTGATTTACATTTAGGGACAGGCCAAAACCTTCAAACTCTCTTACCTTTAGGTGGAAAGTAGGACTTGCTTTCTGCTTTGTGAGGCCAGTCAACTACCAGCGGCCCAAACCTTCTGAAGCTAGCAGTAATTTCATCTAAAAACAGATATAATAATTGTAATTAAATTAACTGACATTTATAACTTTAAAAAAGTAGTATCAAGGACCTTTGTTTCTTTTATCCGTGAAATGTCATTCTGCAATTTTTATGAACTTTAAAAAAAGATACATTTTCCAAGGCTTATTTATGCAGCATGTGTTCAGTGATGTAAGCAAATTTTGTCTTTTATTGTACAATGAAAGCAGTTATTTCGGAAGGATACGCACCGCTCCAGACAGGGGGTCGAATGGTATGGTACTTCACAGCTATCATGCTTGCATTTTTCAGCAGACCCCATGCACAGATCAAGCATGAAAACTCACACTGCCTGTTTTGAGATGGTTCTGCCATAACCATAAACATTGGGACCGCTGCAGGACCTACCATGCCCCCTGCACAGCATCGTGATGTCTTTCTATCCCTGCTGCTCCTTCCTATCATTGCTTATAAATCCCTCAGGCAGCAGGAAAAATAAAACAACCCTCAACCCTGCAAGCACAACTCCTACAACACAAATATGTGTATGCTGTTTCTTTCAGTTGCATCCCACCATCAGCACGTGAACAGTCAGGAGAGAGATTTTTTTTTTTTGCTTTTTCCAGTGCATCTTTGATTAGTGTTGGAAGCTACAGAGCATATTTGAAATAGAAGCTACAGCAACTAGAAAAAGAAAGTTGAGCTATATTAAAAAAAAAAAAAAAGGGCATTGCAGGAGAGTATTTTGTTGAAGATGAAACCAAAATACAGTCTTCCCACGTCTGAGGGATAATTAACCACAGGCAGCTTTCTGTGTTTGCAAGCTGCTCTTAGATTACACTGAACCTTGTAAATGGACTTCTCCCTCCATTACAAAGCTAGCATGTAATTTGTTCTTATCTGTACAGGAGAAAACTAATATTAAATATCATGATTACTTCAGATCAGCAGTATGGTACAAAGCAATTCCAACTGCATCACAAAATAAACCGAGCTTCTGTGGTACATTCTGTACTCAGGGCATCACATGGTAGTCTGCCACTTGACCTTTCTCTGCCTGAAGTTCTCTATCTATGATGGAAATAATATTAATCTTCCTAAACCCCTTCTAAGATGTTTAGGTAACAGCAAAATAGAATCTGAAGTTCAATTAGGAAAAGTCATTTGCTATTAGCAGAGGACAAAGTGAGCACAGAGTGGATACCATGGAGGGCTAACATGCATCTAAAAGGATTATGCACTCCCACAGCACTGCAGGTTGAGCATGAATCCAAAATCCCGGCTTCACATAGAACTCTGCAATCTGCAGGTGCAGAAGAAAGGGTAACTAAAGGAAGGGATGACATTACAGCAAGTCTAACATACCTATCAAGTCTCAACAAAAACGTGGTTGTAGCCTCACCACCACGTTATGTCACTGGGTAGGCTGCTCCCTACGCAGTCCTGCCTGTCCAGCTCTTCCTCTCTCGCGCCCTGCACAGCTGGCCCGCTGGGCAGCTCACCTTCATCGATGTCCGGCGGGAGGCCCCCGACAAACACCTTCCGAGAGAAGCGCTCAATGCGCTCCCCGTTCTGGTGGGCCGAGTAGCAGGTAGGCGAATTCAAGACTCCAACTTGATCACTGTGGCCATCATCCAGCAGACCGTCATCTATCGGGAAGAGCGAAGAACGGCCTGAAAAAAGGAAAGGAAAAATAATACTACATGTTAGAACAATTGCGAGACACTACAGAGACAGGTAGTTTTAGTGAACAGGGAAACAGTCTAGAAAGTAAAAACAAAAGCATCAAGGTATTAGAAAAGTATACATTAGTTTAAAGGAAAAACATTAAATCACACAAAAAAGCATTAAACTTCAGAAAAAAAAATCAAGATTATAAACTGATGTCAATATAAGCATAATCTTTCATACAACTTATGCTGTAGTTATTCTGCATCATGTTTTTAAATAAAGGGTAGTATTTACAAAGAGATCATAGTAAGAGCTGCTTAATCGAACAGAAGGAAAAAGGAAACTATATATACAATAAAAAGTTTCAGACAAATAGGTTTTCTCCCTTTTAAGGGATGTGATGCTAATTAACTAAGACCTAATTCTCTCTAATTTCTAGAGGAAGCAAAAGAGAACTGCAGCAGACGTGCATGAGGTAACCCCTGACACGGGTTCCGAGGCTGGCTCACGCGGCCTGCTCCCGGCAGCCTCGCGGTGCGCTCCGCAGCGAGGGAACGGCGCTATCGCTCTGCTGAGGCAACGCGAGGCCGGGCCTCAGGGACTGCCTTACCCCAAACCCATACAGAAACGTCCAGACCGAGAGCTACTGTAACCGTAAAACCTGTCCACAGAACGGACGTGCAAAGCAAAGCAAGCAAAACATTTTTAAGATGTGGGCATGGGTGAAAATATAGTAATTCGTCCCATTTCTCTCATACAAATACACCTCCTCTCCTCCCCTCATCTTTTGCTTTTACAAATTTCAGAAAACTCCACAACAGATTATGGAAACCAGGATATGCATCTTGCATTATTCAAACTTCTGCTGCTTTAGATTAGCAACATTAGTGACAGTTTCAAATATAAAAGTTTGCCTTTAACTTCAAAAAGCCCCAAATGAACCTACTTCTGTAGGCCAAAATAAACACATCAGATGACCACTAATTCTCAAGTGCAATTTCTGCCTCTTTTTCTCTCTCTCAGTCATTTTTAAAATTAGTATTAATTCATCTGCTTAAAAAAAATCACTTGGGGCAAATAATTTAAATATTTATATAAAAAATTAAAGTATTTTATATTTAAAAATAAAATAGGCTAACTAAGTCCACCTCAGACAACTGCTCCTAGATTTGCCCACTGCAGACCCATAGGCAGGAGCAGCAGGTCCCTGATACCTGGATAGCTGCAATCCTCCCACCTCTAATTTTCCTCCCCTCTCAGGGGATGCTGTCTGGAAAGCACCTTAGAAATGTCTGCAGAAATAGTGCTGATCCGCTGCAGGTGAGGGCAGTATCCAAGACTTTGAGAGAACCACCTGAGAATCAAGTTTTAAGACAAGGGTGGAGAAAAGACAGCAAATGTCATTGACCTAACATTGACCTACGTTGGGGTAATGATCCCTGGCTCTAATTTGGGTGCTGAATCTATAATAGTCTGTCAAAAATACTGAATGGAAACAGAAAATGACAGACATCAGCAAAACATAACACAATGTCATAAAGGATCACAAAATAAAAGCCGGACCCAGCCACGTGCTAGACACCACCTGTAATATTTTATTGTGGTGTTCCACATTATGGCATAGAAAGAAACGCACAAAACAGAGAAATATAGTAGGCTCCTTCTTTCCACTGGAAATGATGACATGCTTGTTGGAAAATGTGGGCAACAGGTAGCAAGGATGATCTCTTTGCTGCCACCATAAAGAAGGAGTTAACAAAGTTGAAACAAGAAGCTGAGAAGATGGTTTCTGTGAATGATCTATAACAGGATAACAGGAGCAAACGATGGCATGATGCTATCAAGACTCAAGAAAGGAAAGTGCTGCAGCTCAGGAATGTAGGTGTGGGTTTCAGATAGAAAGAATAAGAAAAAGTGGTCAGATCTTATGCTTGCATACCAAGTGTCGAGATTTGGATAAACACTCAAGAAAAAAGGATGAAATGCTACTGATCAGAATGATGAAGAAGAATGAGATCGTCCTGTAGTGATACAGAAGGAATAAATGGCGGAAAAAAGAAGGAGTAGAGCAAAGCTCTTGGAGTTGGACAACGTTCCCTTAAACTGGAGGCATTTCATGGGAAACTCCCACAGTGTAACCTGAAGACTTTTTACTAATATGAAAGAGTTATTCTTAATGTCTTAAGTCTAAAATGGATACAATTGAGTTCTGCTATCTTTTCAAAAAAATCACATGGGTTTTGCTCTGTATATCTACAAGGCTCCCTACTGCACGGAATGAGAAACAAACTGCTAAGTGACTTAAATTTTTTATAAATGCCTTAGTTGCAATATTATGAGGCTAACAAGTTTTTCTTTAAATTGGCATAAAAAAACCCCACAATTTATACTTGTGTTTTCTCACCCTGAAAATTATATATTTATATTTGTCTAGAAGCATACCTTAGATACCATCATTTCTGATCTACAGTATATGCAAGTATATAATGAAAAAAAAAAAAAAAAAAAAACAAACCAAACCAGAATAATCCACAGAACAGATTTGTTTTCATGGCCAATGCTAAAATCTAAGAAGGAGAGTCTATGGCTCCATTCTTATTGCGCATTCAATCGTCAGGAGACATTCTGAAGAGGTATCGGTGAGAGCAGTTTTACCCTGATGTGGGTAAAAGTTTGCCCAAAGCCTGTGGCTCGGCAGAGAGCTGGGATGGCACAGAGGAAACAGATTAGCACATTCAGAGCAATACGTTGCCCATGACTCCCAACACTTCCATGTCTCTCCTCTTCCCTTTTCCATGTTTCTCAGCTGGAGAGAGGTAATTTTCTAGGCTTTCTGTTTCCTCCCAAAGATTCTGAAGTAAAAGGCAAGTTCTCTAAAAACACTTATTTCTTTTTTTTTAATGCTCTAAAAACACTTATTTCTTTTTTTTTTTAAATACACAAATAAGATAGAGAAATTTGCACATACAGTAATGATAGAAACATGAAAACAAAGGTTTGAATGAAGTGGTTCTTATTCTTGCTCCAAAACATGCCACCACACAAATTATTACGCATAATGCTCCAAAACATGCCACCACACAAATTAATTATTACGTATAACCAAGGAAAACACATTTATTGCTAATTTCAAGATGGAATTTTCAGGATTTAGCATAATGAATTAAGCAGAATTTGACAGGAAGTGTTAAAATATAATTGCATTATTATACATTTAGACCAGGATCTAGATCATCACTTCTCTCCAAAATAAGGTTACGAAGCAGCCATTTATGAACCAGTGTAGAGATCAGGGAAGATAGACATGAACTTGAGCATATCCCAGTATCTGAAGTTATCAGAGGATCTTGACCTTTTTGCCTGCCTACTTCACACAGCCTGTATAACCACCACAGGTCACGGTCTCACATTGCTAAACCAGTGTAGCTTTCTGAGGTCAACGAGCATATATTGGCTTGTACTATGAAACTTGGTTTACTCTTTGGAAGAGGTATTTAATGCATTTCTGACCAAGTCTGTGAGAGGATTTTAGTTGAATGCTATATACTACCACACAAAGAGAAGCAAAAGAAGATGAATTAAAAAACAGAAAAACTAGCAAACTGCATACTATTAACAGAGACAACTCTGCAAGCAGTAGCTATTAGCATTGACTGAATTATGATTAGTGCTACAGTGTTTTAACTGATTAAAGGATTTGTAATACAAACTTAATGCAAAGAGATCAATGGCCAAAAGAAATCAGACCCCATCACTCCTTCCCTCACACCCTCCATATTCCCAAACTAAGCAAACATGCAGATGAGAGTTTGTAATCAACCAACTGGAGTAATTAATCACAATGATCAGTAACAGCCCAATCAGAATTAATTGCACTATAACAAACAGAAGTGGATTACCTCGTCTTCGCCCATAACTCCTCGCTGCATGTAAACAAAGGACAAGTTGTAAAATGTCAAGCAACGCTATCATCACCACATATTAAACTGCTTATGATACAAAAAGCTATGCAGGTAACTGACGAGTAAAAACCTGTATCAGTATTTGCCACCCGTATATAATGGGGACTGCATTAAAGTGAAGTCTTACTTAAAAAATATCCTACTTTACTACTAAATTGATGATAGCATCAGCTATAAAAAATATGCTTTCGAAGACAGCAATATTGCACAAATTTAAAAACTACTTATTAAATATTCAATGTGCCTTTATACTGGAATTTAATTCCATGTTAATTATGGAAACATGAATTTTAGTAACTTTGTAATTGAACTTCACAAGTGTGCTTAAAATTTTGTATGAGCATCTACATAACATTCAGGGTACTGACACTGTAAAAAAGCAAAATACTCTTTAAAAAGCATGTAGAAAGCGTTAAATTAATCAGAGAAACATCCTGGTCCATGGAACAGTTTGTACAGTCCTTTGCAGTGACAATACAAATGCTATAAGCCGTGACCTTCCTTTTTCATGAAAAGAGCTAGCAGAAAATTAACCGCAAGGTTTTGTTTAAAACAAAAGACTCCTTGTGGTGGCAAACAAAATCAGGTCACAAGTCACAAGAAACACCATTGTATCAAAAACACTGCACAAAAGCAAAGCAACAATTTCTGACAGGCTGCAAGTAAATCCAAGATTTTCTTAACTTTGAGTGTTGCAAGATTTTTAAAGAGAACATGCTTACAGATGACTGATTGCTCCGCCATGTGAAGAATCAAAATACTAAAAATAGACAGATTACCAACAGAAAGGCATTAAGCTGCAAGCATTTTTTAATTCAGATATTTTAAATTATTTTTTCTCAAACGTTGTATCTGAGAACTTTGTATTTAATCATTACAGCATTATAGTTTTCTAACAGCAAATGTTACTGTAAGCCATAATATTATAGCAACGCTCATGAACAAAGATGGTTCTGTCCTACATAACTGTTTTCATTTTGCTGGGACTGCATGCACAAATCTGTCCCAAAATGCAGCTTTATTCTGGGTCATAGATTAATGTGCAACCTCATAAACTCAGTAGCTTGCAAATACCATTCACAGCCCCATTTCCATATTGAGTATTTATATTCTGTTTTTTCCTATTTGCAAAGATTTTTTTTTTAATTTAGTATAGCTTTTTTAAAATTCTTATTAGAAATTCAGTGGATTGCTTATGAAATTCTGAAAATCTCTTCTTGTATTTACTTCCTTACAGTTCTTGGTCCCTTATACAACTCTCACTGCATCCCTGTCCAACTTGCATTGAACGTGCCTTTAAATTTACTTCATTTCCCCTGATTACTAGCACCAGATTATTAACATAAGATGCTTGAGCAGGGGTGTTGGACTAGACGATCTCTAGAGGTCCCTTCCAACCTTAACCATTCTGTGATTCTATGATTAGCACAATCTGGTTGCTTGACACTCTTCAAAACCTTCTACAAAAAAGCCAGAACAGAAAAGCCCAGTTTCAAAAAGGGGCTTGGGTAGCCAACCAAGAGGAAACACCTACATTCAGATTTCCAAAATCACAGAGAATCCACAAAATGCAGCGTGTCCTTTTGCCAAGGATACGAGGTGCTGCTGCAAAGGGACACTAATGTCTAATTTGAGCGCGGGTTTTCTCTGCAGGGTCAGGCAGTTCAAGCCGCGCTCGGCCCCGGCGGTCGTGCAGCGCGTGGGAACCTGCTGACTCGCAGCCAAACCGGCTCCCACGCAGCATTAGCAGTAGCGTCACTAAGCCCTCGGCTAACCCGCTCTGTTTCCTTTTTTTCTCTCACAAGTAAAACTAGAATAATCAGGAAAGATTCAAGTGCATCATACACATAACAACTGCAGTAGCAAGTTCTCTCTCAAAAAATAATATACAATTGCATATTAATAAACCTCTTCTGGCAAGCAGCTTAATATTTGTTTATGTGCCTCCAGTTCTGCTCGTTTCTGCCAACCAAACCAGCCCAGCTATTTTCTCCAATTTTTGTAGCTAAGACAATCTGATATACATAAAAGATACTGATTTACCGAACATTTTAACTACTTTTCTTTGTACATTTTAAATAAATAGCAAAAAATTTAAGAAACACAAAAGTATTATTAAAATGCTAAAAATAGAATCCAGAGCAATCCAAATGAAAGAGTATCTGCTGCAGCATTTCATTCGGATATACTGAAATTACAATGACAGACCAGAGTTATCTGTGTCTTTTTGAGGAGGTCTTTGCGTAAGGAAAAGAATGAAGCCAGAAGAGGGGACAGCAGCCACATTTACTGTTGTCACATTATTCACTTTACTTGCGGGGTAAATCTCTATCTCTTGCTATATATCTGTCTTTCTATTTCAATTACAAATTTCTTTGCGCAGGGATTTTCTGCCAATTTGCATCTAGAAAAAACTTCCTTCTGTTCTTAGACAATCTGTAGGCAATACTGCAATGAGACAATTCACAACATCAGAATGTATGTTTTAGAAAACATGTTATTCTTGGTTAGTTTTCTGCCTTCTTTAAAACCATAGTGGTTATGTTATAGATCAGGCGTTTTGATAACAGTAAGTACAAGTGCCTTGTCTTGCAGGTTGCAGGCTATCCATCAGACTGCTCCCAAATCACTAAATATACAACGTTAAACATATCCTTCATGAAACTGCAGGATTTTAATCTTTCTATATTACATATAAAGGCCAGGTACTGCTTGAAAAGCAGACCCCCAAATCAGTAAACTTTCAGTATATAAAAGGTGAGCAACAAGATATCCTTCCTGAAGGTACTAGAATTAAACACAAATATTCTTCTGTATTTATTAAATGTACATTTATTAAAATGTACATATGGTGTTACACATTTTAGGTCACATATCCTTATACACACTTACTTGCATTTATATTTATGTGTATTTAATATATATTTCTATATAACTTGTGTACACAGGTGTAGATAAAGAAATAATCGCAAGAGAAAGAAAAAGATAATTTATTTCTTTAGTCCTTTGGGGAAAGCCAGGTATTACAGGTGTACTTAATTTACTACACTAACATTACACTAACAGAAAGGAGAAATAACACTTCTTCCTTCCCAAATTCCTCCAATGAATAAGCTATAGCAACATGTTTTTTGTATCCTTTACTCCGTAAAACAGGTTATTGTAATTAATCAAAGGCCTTGGAAGATTTCACAGTGGAAAAGTGTCATAGATTTTAGAAAACCAAAAATAGATAACATGCAAGCATCATCTTGATTTCAAGTCAAATAACCTTAGCACTTTCCAGCAATGTATGTGGCACATTAAAGAAAAATTCTCCTTTTGTTCATTTAATTTAAATTAATTGAAACACTGAAAAGTAGAATCTAAATGGGCTGAATTAAAAAAAAAAACAAACCTATGAAGTGCTTAGTCATAAAAAGGTTTAGGAATTCCAGGCTCATGACTAAACTTTTCTGGGACTCAGAGATACAAGTTCATCTACTAAAACAAGCATGATCTAGCGTTAAGTATTAGAGCAAAGGATGAAGCTCCTTCAAAACGCTGCTGCTTTTCTTTCTGAGGGACTGGGGCTACTCGGGGTCTAGAAAACTTTCGGAGCCTGTAAGGGTCTCTGGATTTCCCTATCTCCTCTTGCCTACTCCTCCCTTTAAAGCAGTTTTAAAAGGGACGCTGTGAAATGTAAGCTTGACTCTCCTCAGCAAAGAAACAAACTTGAGTCCCCAAAGGCCTGTTAAGGGTTCAAGCTCTAATTCTCATTACCAGGCATTATGAGGAAGCCCCTCAACCTCGCTAAGAGAGAAGGGTTGTAATGGAGAATCCCAGCAGCTGGATGTGCTTCCCAGAAGCTGTTCTTAGTGCTGTAAGCGGTGCTGTACTAGCTGTAAGCAGCTGCAGTTTAGACCCTCCAACTTCACGTGGCTGTAACCAACATACCTGGCTGCACTGGACTGCATTATGAGGTACCTCAGCCTCCCCAATACATTTTAGGGAGTTTAGGTGTCTAAAACGAGGCTCTGAATTAAATTCTACAGGTCATACCAGAAAGTCAGGCATTTCAGCATCTGTCTTCTAGATACTTGAGTTGTTTTTATCTTGTCTACTGAAGGCCACAGATCTTACACAATTACACTAGGTGCTAACTTCCAAAGAAACGGTGGGAACTCCACCAGGATGAATAAAAAACCAAGATACTCTCCAGAACACATTCCAGCTCCATGGAAAAATTGTCAGCATAGACTGGCAACACTGACATGTATTTTCTCAAGGTCGCTGGTAACAGCAAAGAATCCTTGTTTTTATATATTTTTAAGATATTCCATAGTGTAACAATGCCAACTTGCTGTTTTAGCATATAATACAATAAAAAGATAAGCTCGGTATCTGGAGCATTAAAGTAAACAAAAAATACAAATTCTTGTATTTTAATAATAAAATACACAAATATTTGATAATCACTCATAAGATTGCTAAATTTTTAATATCCTCACAGGTGACACACCATAAATCAGTAGATAACCACATGGCACAGGTACCACCTGAACAAAACATTTTGCAGAACAGGGTCCTAGTATCAGAAGGATGTCTGTTGGAATCTGCAGTTACAGCTATGCAAAATACATTTTATTAAGTGCCAGTCTGTAATTATTCACTGTCACTCATGTACATTTTCTCACTCTGCAGCTGTAGGCCTTATTGCTGCGGTTCAATTTAGCAAGGTAGCTGCTCTGAGTTTTGTAACATCAAGCACATCCATAGGCAATGCAATTTCCAACCAGGAATTAGCAATATGGGCCGCGCAGGCAAACCACAAACTTTATTTCAATAGTAAGTAGCTGCTTATGGTCTCCAGGAGCATCCTAGGAACCATTAAGCACCAAAAGACCTGATTCTTCAAAGACGTTCACTGTAGAATACTTACTTTTTGTGGTTTATAAAGCAAAGGTCAAATTCCCTTAAAATTTAAAACATGTACTCCGTGTTACACAAGGGAGGTCAGACTTCTTTTATATTGTGTATCGACTTGTATAAATGTAAAGACTGTGTAGAGGGACAAGGCAATTAAAAAAAAAATCAGGACTCCACAGAACTAAACATCTGCAATGAAATAACTATTACGCTTGCATTTTTTTCAAGACTGGATCCTAACTAGCAAGGTTTAGACCCATCACTCTCCATTGATTATAAGTCAGTGACAGAAATGTCCTGGCTTTGTACACCATAGTTTCTACTTTTTCACATCTAGCGAAGCTGTGGAATTACAGCTCCCATGTTTTCCAATGCCAAAAGCATTTGTGTGCAAAATCCTTGATTTATTATTGACTTAGATGGATTACCAAGCTCTGCTTCCTTCTTTAGGCTTGAACAGAGGCTAAAGTTCATGCCTTCACTGAGTAGCAGATGTTCATGAAGTTTGACCTACTGGGAGAGGAACGTGAACATGAACTCTAACTTCAGCATATCTTGGAGTTAGAAATGTGTTTGAAAAAGCCAGTTCCAAAAAATCCACAAAAACGAAATCTTATTTCACATTAATATAATAGAAAAAATGCATAATTCACCATGTATATACACACAATATAAACCCCTATATTTCTGGCGCTCTTTTTCTGATTCCTCTTTCAGCATAGTAGATTTTAGTAGCTGTTTAGAGCAGGCAATATTAGCTTGCCTGAGAACAAAAAGAACAGTACATCTCTATGAGTATTTCAGATTTCAAATAAGCTAGATATAATGAAAGGCTGTTGCAAGATTAGCTCTACTATTCAACTTTGAAAAATGGCACCAGTCCCATCGCTGTTGAAGACTTGAGGCAAGTAATTCAATAACAGAATATAATACTATAATTTTATACCAATGTTTCAGAGCTAAGCTAGAGATAATTAGAAACTGTTACAAGATTAGCACTTACCATTTAACATCAGAAGATTGTCAGCCCCTGGATGTGGGTAACTCAAGCGACCTTAAAAGAAAAATAAAAAAAGGAACAAAACCAAAACAAATGCAGAGATTTTAGTTATTATACTAGAAATAATAATAATAATAAAGTGAAATGAAAAAAGGCACAGCTTGGAATTCAAATATATTCTATATTTCCAGTTTGCCTAAAGGAAATAAAGAGCTAATATTTAACTCCAAGTACATTAACCAACAATACCCTTGACCCAAGTTAAAGCTGACAGGAACAGACTTCTTAACCTTAATTCTCTGGTCATAAGATCTGCAATGTGCTTTGGGATCAGTCCAATAGGATAAAGCCACTTTTTGTTTCATGACACCCAGAAATAGTGCTGACTGCTTTAGTCTTCTCTTTCATGGTGATTGTGAATAACTGTACTATGCACATTGCTTAACTGAGGGTAATTTTTACAGTTTGGTATTTATTGAATCAATGCTACGAGAATTATGTTAGTAGGAATTAATATAAAATCATTAAAAGATTTGTAACCAAATTGTAATTGTATCTTGGTGAATCACATGCATGCACTGTATATAATAATATTTTTAGGAAGTCTGGCAAAGCTGGAGTATTATTTTATTTACAGACTTTAAAAAATGTGGTAGGTTACACTTACTTAAAGAAAAACACCTAGCTAGTGAATAAAAGTTCATGAAGAGCCATATCCTGATATTAGCTTCAAGTACTGCATTTACTAAATTGATGGTATGTAACATTTCTAGGAGTTAAAAGATCTCTCTAAAACACATAGCTGAAGTAGCTTCACTATAAATTCCTTTTCAGTAAAGGAGACATTTTCTGTTTACAGGAAGCTGAAACCATACCAGGACTGCACACTGACCCAGACAGAAATTTACAATAGCTGCTGTGTTTGGAAGAAGTGTGCCTTAATGTGCAAAAACCTACATTTCCATATATCTTGCCATGAAAACTTGCTTGCTTGTTTATAATCCCTGTACTTATTTGAAAGAAAATACTGTAACTTAAACATTTACATCTTTTGGAGGAAACTAGATGTTTGTTGAGACATAATGAAGAATACAGTCAAGAAGCTATGGGTCTTTAGAACTTACACAGATTTAAATAGGGATTTGTAGGCAGATGGCTTGCAGATGCATGTAACTTATTTAAATACTAGTAAGACATTGCAGAGAATTCATCTTTAAGGAAGGCCAACCCTTCCTAAAAACAAACACAGGAAAAAAGAAAAAGAAAACCAAAGCAGCAATCCATATATTAAGGCTGTCTTAACATTTCCCATTATATATCTTCTCCTTTTTCTTCTTCCCTAAGTTTTGGAAAACTTGTGTGCTTAGCAGCAGGACTGGAAATTTCCTAGAAGAATAGTTCTGTGGCTAAATTGTTTTGGGGTTAAACAAAAAAAAAAAACCTTTTGGTGACAATCTGTTACAGGGTTTAGTTCTGCTCTTCTCCTTTAATCAAAATGAATGCAAACTCTCCACCAAGAAACTACAGAAAAAAAAATAGCTAACACAATGAACCCTTGCTCTCAAATCCCTGAAACAGTAGGACTGAGATCCCTTAGGAAATTTTATTCTGGCATTATGGCGTATGACAAAACCAAGCTTTATATCCCTGTCATCATAACAAAAAGATTCCTCTACAATCACATGCTATTTCTCTTCCTAGAGACTCTCTGAATGAAATAAGAATATATTAAGATTAAATAGGACCTCTGCCTATTTGTCTTAGAATTTTAAAGCACAGTGAAGGTTATGAAGGAGAAGGATGGAGTCTGCACACGGGTAGGGGAGTGACACCCCCAAAGGACACCACTGTATTCCCTAAATCTGTCAGTATTTGTATCAGGCTTGGGCAAAATATTAAGCAAAAATGCTTGCAGGTGCCTCCATCTTCACGTCCCTTACATTTGGGATGCCCAGTTTTACCAGACAACTCAATTTTTCTATCATTTTTGTGTCATGCTGAGCATTTACGGTGACTCCTAATGCCTCTGAAATCTGTGAGCACTCTGCCCTTCCAGCAGCACACGCTGGCAGAGCCAGAAGGGAATGAGGAACAAGTCAGCCTGGAATTCCAGCCACGAAGCTGCCACTGATTTATTCCACGCGACCTTTAGCAAGTCACTTTGCTTTTCTCCTCTCTCTTTATTTCCTTAGGTCTATAAAAGTAATTCTCATTTGCCTAATGACAAGAATCTTACGACACTATTACTGTCACCATTGTGCTCTGAATATATGCGAGTGCTACAGAAATACTTGTAGCAGTATGCACGGTTTCTTGCAAAACAGAACACAACAGAACAGAAAAAGTAATTATAGCAACTGTGAGGAATAATTATCTGATCTTGAGGCTCCCTAAGTTCATGGTGACAGTAACCTTTCTTGTCTATTTTTTTCTTTTGTCACTTAGTAAGGGAGACAGAGGATAAATATTCCAAAGGGAAAAAAAGGTAAGATTCAAAGTCTGTCAAGAAACAACTCACCAAGTTCAATACCTAGAGAGAAAAATTGTTTTAGAAGCTAGTATAATCTGGGTTTGCAACTCTCTTTTTGCATTCTTTTATCTTTTTTTCTTTAGCTTCATGCAGGATCTACATCTGGAATACAGAATGTCCAGTTGAATAAAGTAGAAATGCAGCCCTTCTCAAAGCATGGGGAGTGCCAAGGAGCGCTCCTGCCCGGTGAGACCCTCTCCTGCTCACCTGTTCATCACACACAGACACCTCCTCTTGCTGCCTTAGGAAGACCTAACTAGTGCAGACCTTGTGTTCCAAGGGGTGGCAAAACAAGAGGAATAACGCAGTATTCAATACAAGTATAGTTATATTGATGCTTCTCTCTAGTCTTACTCAAATGGTTATTTCAATGAATATATACCCGCTTTATATGGCTACAATTCTGCTGACCTTAAAAATCCTATTGCATACCTTTTCTCATCCTAGGACTTCATAATCCTAAAAACATTTTGACATGGGTGGGTTTTGCTTGTTTTCTTTTTACTCCAAAATACAGCTAGTGCTATTCGATGTCAAACTAGATTCTTATCCCTCAGATTAATCTGTTGAGGCAGAATGCTGTGTTTCTAGAAACCCCAACTGCTTTTAGTGAGATGCAAAAATTGAGAACATGTGAGGAACGAGGTGCAAGATCAGTCTTATATAGAGCTCACATTATGCTCTATTTTTAAACAGATTATTCTTGTTAAATGGATGTATACAACCTAGGTGAGACGTAAAGAAGGGTTTTATAAGATAGTTCCATCATCTTACAGCAGTTTACTTAGCTTACATTTGTTTCTGTTCAGCTACTTTCACTGCATGATGTTCAGTGCCTTTGAAAATGCATTTTAAGAACTGCCCACTCCACAAACCCCATCCTATTTCCCTGCCAATCATCTAGAACAGTCCAAACAGTTCAATATTCAGTATTTATTCTAGTGATTCCAAGAATCTCAGATTGCCTAATTTTAGTAACTATGATGATGCTTTAGTAGTTTTAAAAACACTTTCAGGTAAGCTACATTGAAATAATGGATGCATTCAGTTCCTGATAAATAAGAAGTAATCACAGCATTGACTGTCTGCAGAATGTAGTTTTACATCATCCAAAATTAGCACCATGCTATTTGGAATAAACACAATGCCTAATATTGACACACTGTATCAGAAAGTATTACAGATTTTTTTTTTCTGTGCCTTCCTGAGTCTAGTGATTTCAGCATGTTACCAATTCTCATGTGCAATGGCTAAATTCAAAATAAATGCTAATGAGAAGCAGATATGTTTAGTGATTTCTTATACACTTAAGAATTGTGTTAAATTTAGTCCCCTCTTCCATGTCTAAATCTGATTAATGTTACTGTTCCTACCTACTTCTCACAATGTATTATGTACAACAACAAAAAACCAAACTTCCATCAAAGTTTCATATACTAAATCTAGTCCTGCTAATTCAGAACAAGAGGACTGAGTAGCTCACTTAACAGAAGTGTAACAAAAGCTATCTCATGTAGCTAATATGGGCCCTACGTACTAAACATTTTGCAAACTTCTTTTCAGTACCCATATTTCATTATGTTTATTCACCTTCTATTTTCAGGTAAACTCATACAATTTGTAAGAATCCCAATATTCAAACATTGGCAATGATTTAAGTATCTATGACTGCTTTAAACATTGCTGACTCACAGGTTGCCAAGTTCAATACGCTACCATTTGCCCCAACACCTTTATTAATGTCTCAAATATTTTTCCTCTTAAAGTTTCTATAAGATAAATCTTCAGAAACCAATCTCTACATGTAATTTCACAACCCTTGATGTGACAAAAAGTTAAGCTTCTCCTTCTTTTTGTTCAGCCTCAGAAATTCTCTTCTGAGCACAAAAATGTAACAGTATAGCTTTTAATCTTAGCTCTTTGCAATGCAGAAAACATAAAACAAATTTCTTCTAAAGCATAGTTTACCACAGCCCAAGAAAGAGATGCTTTCTACTAGGCTGCTGAGTCACCACTGGCTTTCCTGAGCACACTCCAGAAGGTTGCTTTGAAAAGCAAGATGCAGAACACCTGAAAAGCTTCATGAAAGCAATTGAAAGGGAAAATAAAAATGAGAAAGAGAAAGGTTTCCAAAAGCATCATGTTCTTTTTCCCCACAGGTAAGCCAATTTTTATAGTGTTTTGCTTTCATAACTTTTTATTACTACATATAGAAAAAGGACATCTTTTGTTTTCAGCAAAATCTGTTCATTTTCTTCAGATTTCAGAAAAAGCGTAAGGAAAATACAATTCTGTTTTCTTGTAAATAAAGTCTTAATATTCCTTCTTGTTGTTCCTACTAAGGTAGTTAGGGCTAACTCAAGCTCAGTACTATTTGACAACTAGCTTGCAGAGCTGCATAAAGGGTTGGTTAGGAAATAGAAAGCCACTGAAAATTGAGCACACTATCAATGCTCTCACCTGACAAGGAACCCATTTACATCAGTTCTGGATAATAAATCCCTCTAAATCAGCTACTTCTCAATTCTAACACACATTATATGAGGAACTAGTCCTTTTACCCTTTTTCAATTATAGTCCTTATATATTGACTTGTTTGTTTCTGAAATAGCTAGAAATCAATTTTCTACATGTTGATTTCAGGAGACCTGGTTTTTGAAGGAAGAGATGAAAAAAAACAAAGGCACAGAAGTGGTGTGTCTATAAAAAGAGCTTTACTGCCAATATCTAGGTACGTGAGATTCATTTCCACCCAATATTGCAATAAGTGCCTCAAAACTTTAAGAGTTAATAAAAGGCTATTTAAGAAAAGCCTAGTAAAAATGAACTATTTTATATGCTAAATTCAGTTTATATTCTTTTGATCGTAAAGGGTAATTCTTATCATAAAATGCATTTTGAGAAAAACGCCTAGAAAAACTATGTCTACCACAACCAGCAAATTCAAACAAACAAAAACCTCTTAATTTTATTTTTACTGAAAGCTAAAGATATTTTTTCTTTTGATCGTGTCTGTAATGCTGACTAAACTTGGTCTAACGAAAGCCAAAACTATGCATCTACAAACAATGTTTTGGCAGGCACAAACTTAAGTTACAATTATTCATATGTGACATATGTTTTTTCAAGTTCACGAAAGGAGAAGTGGCAAAGTTTGACTTCCTTGTTAAAAAGGGTTTTCAAATCCAAACCCTAAAGCTGTGAGCTAGTGCATGCAGTGTCTGGCCTGCATTGTGCAGAACCTGAGACAAGATGCTTAGTCATAGTCCAGATATTATAAGCAGCTAAATCTGAAACACGTGCTTAGCATTCCCAGGACTTTCATTTTACTGCTGTGGTCAGATATAAAAGATGCATTGTTTTAGTGTGCCTTAGACTTATTTAACAACTTGTCATAAGAATATTTTTGTAACTAAAGATTATTTTTAGCTACAATGAAGTATGTTATCTATTAATAAAAATAAGACAATCAATAAAATTAAGCCTGCACTTTCTGCAAGCAAATAAGATGGTTTTCTAAGTAAATGTCAGATTTGCTGTGGTGAAAAGAAAATGCCATGGGGATCACAATAAACTTCGTGTTAGATGGCTTCTGGAAAAAAAAAAAGTTTTTAGGAAATTACAGAAGTGACAAACGCCAGCTAATTGTGACTGAGTAGAAAAGAGATAGGGTGGAACTAAAAAGCTATTCCAGGATGTGTTCTACCCCTCTACCATCTCCCATCTCAGTAAAATCACTAAGGAACATTTCCTCCATCTCACTGTTAATAATGTAGCTTTCTCAATTGAAATTGTATCTTCCAAAGAGAAATGATATCCTACCAGCCTATTTAAATAATGGTACTCAATTATTCTATTTAAATTCAGATGCTGTGCGCATTGTTCTCTGGCAGCCAACCAAGCCACCAACAAAAAATTTCCTTTGAATTCATCACTATCTATGGCTTCCATCTGTTTTAGTTCATCAAATATAAAACTTAGGGAATTTTCATTCCAAGTATATGATGGTGAAACTGTTTTATAAAAATTGTCTGTAGACCGAAACATACACTCATAACCATGAAACCTTCTCTGAGGTTTTCAGAAGTTCATGTATGTGGAAACAATTAGCTTTAAAGTCTTAAAGCTTTGTCTTGCCTTTTTCTCACTAAAAACTATTATTGGAAAAAATGTTTTTTTCCCCATTATAATGAGATGAACAAAAGTAAAACTGGGTCTCTTCTGTGTTCTCTGTGCTTCTGAAAACTCTTATGCATAATGAAAACAGGGGGATTGCTAGGGGAACAAACCAACAACTTCCTGGAGTATTTGGCATATTAGCCTGCACAGGAAAAATGGAAGAACTGATTGGTTTTCATGAACGTGAGAAGTGCTAATGATTGTCTATCATGACAAAAGATCTGAATTCTCTAATTTCCTGCCTAACAGCAGCTTCACCTTTCAATTTCCTTGCTGATGGCAGGGTTTTGGTTCAGATAACCTAAAATGATGAATCACTACCTGAATGTATTAAACTGAAGCAGCAGGGGTTTCAAAAATGAATGATCTGACTAGTTGCCTTTTGTTTGATGACATACCATGCTTTTAGTCCATAACAGTTACCACTAAGTTAACTGTTCAGACTTCAATCTTTGTTTTACTTAGTGTCGTTTTGTAGACATGCAGAAAGGGCAGAAAATGAATTTAGTAGTGAACTTAAATGATAAATTGTTAAAATCTGGAATTAAATTCTCTGTAGCTATTATGAAATTGGAGATTATATTTAAAAACATCTGAGAACATTAATTTCAACTTCTGCTCTACAGTGGAATATTAACTGGTAACTTTGTTACCTATTTAGTGATGTTCTATAGGCATTTTCAGCACTAAAAAAAATCTTCAACTTCACACTGTAAATCTTAAAATATCATTATGTATTATCTGAATACAAGAGGTCTTCCAATTGACTACATATCTCGAGAGCACTAGGAGCGGACCCTAGCGAAGAGCTTCTCAGTTGTAGAATAGAGACCCTTATGTATTACTATAATGTAGATTACATCCAAGAGCCTCTAGAAAGAGGGGTAAGTAAGTATATGAAAATAAGAGCAATTTATTTGAATTATTCCAATACTGAGATATATTTACTGCCTAGCAAGAATAGTAAGTGTGAAGTCTTGAATAATTTTAAAGTCAGACTATGTTAGTCTAATACCATAAATCAAATAGCATTTAATCAGGTCAAATAAATTGGCTTGGACTCCTGTCCCCCAAGTTCAGGGGCAAGAATCCATCAGAGAATAAGTATGGAAAAACATGAGTCATTGCACAGTGAATACAAGAGTTAAAACTGAAGTCCACAAATACTTGGCCACAGCAGTAAGCACACAGCCAGTAATTTCAACAAAGCACAAAAAATCAAAAGGAATCAGGATGCTAAAGCATACTTCTGGATTATCATTAAGGACAATTCATACAAAATACATCCTCTAGGGTCTGAAAAACTACTTAAAGCACAAAGATGGGATTTTTCAGTGATCTTAACTTTCTTTTCAGCTTCCACTGCTAAGATGGAAAAATTATTCGGCTAACTTCGGCTAGTTGTTTGGTTCCCATCTCAATCCCTTTTGGCTAGCTCCACCGTATCAGTGTGTCTTCACAAACTGCAGCAAAACTTGGGGCAGCAGATGAGCTGATTTCAGATAAACCTATCTGTGGATTTCAGTGGGGGTAAGAGAAAGGGAGGGCTGGACAAAGCTGGAGAATATGCTAAATTGTATAAATTATAAAATAATAATTAAATTAATAAATGATAAATAATTTCAATAGTATACAGATTCAGAATAACCTTTCATATTGGTTGAGAAAGTAATTCATTTGCTATTTTAATACGAACCTAGAGACCTAAATCAACAATCAATGCTAATGAAAATATGCAGAATGGGTGACCCTTTTTGCTTTATTTAGCATAATAACATACCTTTAAGTGGATCATGCTCTGCTCTCATAATGTCAATAAGGGAGTTTTCCAAAGAGTGCATATTCAGACTGTCATACATTCTATTTCGATCCTAAAAGAGAACAAAATCCTTAGTATTGGAATACAAAATCTGTACTTTGTAACAGGACGCTTGATAGGAAGACCAAGGCGCCTTCTAAAGGCTTTACACTCATACTGGAGAAGGACAATGATTAAAAAAAAAAACTTATGATATCTGAATTTATTAACAGTAAATTTAATAGCATCCAAATATAAAACTGGAGGTGCACTGTGAAAATCCTTCTGTATATGCACTTCGATAGCCTGTGTCTGCCTGTCTTCCTCAGAAGAATTGCCCAGGTCAGTGTGAGTGATCCCCTGTAGAGCTAAACAGTAGGTTTTTTGATGACGGGTACTGATTTAGGATTTTAGACCTGCCTGTTGAGACTGAGCTGTTTTCTGGGTGATCCCTCCAAGATCCTCTGCTTATGGAGACTTTATTTACACATGGGCAACACTAAGTGGTTAAAAGCTAGAAAATTATATTTGGAAAATTTAAAGAAAAAAAAAAAAGCTTACTAATGGGTTATCAGCCTACGGCAATTTTTTTAAAGGATGAATAAAAGTTACAATAATTCACAAATAACTTTTTAAATTATTATTATTCTCAACTAGGGCTTTTTTTCTGCATTTTCTAATGTCTTCAAGTTGAGGGAAGAGGAAAAAAAACTATCTAACTTTGGTCTTTCTGGAATACCTTCAGAAAACAGTCAGCCTTACACCCTTTTATCTCCTGCAGTTACAGTGCTTTCTGGCTGGACTATATCCCCTTTAAAGAGATTTTGTAACCATGCACAAAGGATCAGATTCTCAGTCCCCATGATTTTCCTTGACAGTTTAGCGGGACACAGATTAACTTCAAACTATATCACCTGGCAAGCAGGTATTCTTCAGGATTTGGAAGGGAAACAAACTCTCAAATAGATCTCTTCTGAATTAGAAACCATGACTTATGAACTTCTCTACAAAACAACCCATGATGAAACAAAGATTTCACTATAATCTCATGTGAAAAGCTTAGTCAACCTGATACATTAGGATGAAGACAGAAGTCCCCTTTTCAGCTATCTCTATCCCACACAGCAAAAGAAAAAGAAATTAGCTGCTTCCTATGGAATAAATTATCTATTATGTTTATTATTATTATTTCAAGCCTTCAAATAATGTGAATGACAAGCTTGGAAGAGGATTAAAAAAAAAATTATGTTAAATTTCCTTTCTCTCCTATTCTCTCCTAACATATCCTAGACTAGGTGTTGTAGAAGCTGTTTTAGCTGATCTTCAGCTTGTTTTGAGTGCCAACAAGGCTTCAATACTACTGTAGTTCGCAGCTACCTATTTTGGAACTACTTCATTTCATTCAGTCATGTGGCTGTCCTGAGGAGCGGCAAAACGAAACTGAAGTGCCTCTAAATGACTTCCGTGCCCTTGTAGATTGGTTTCTTAACAGCTTCTAAGAGAAGAACCTGCTTGCCATATCAAATTTGCTTTCTACAAGAAGTGTGAGCAGCAGCAAAGCTGAATCTGTTATCTGATTGTGAAAGACAATTCTGTTCCTTCGCAATCAGAATTTATCTCATCATAATTTTTAATGAAGTCTCAGATTCTGCTGAAGTCATTACCTGGTGGTTAGGAGTCTCTCTGCCAAAAAACAAAACAAAACAAAACAAAAAACCCAATGCTGAGTAAACTGAAGGTGAAACTGCTACCTCTTCAGCTGATGGGGAAAAGAACTACTATTAGCTCCAACTGGGCAAAAAAAAGTGTATGTGACACCTGATCTTTAACATTCTTACTTTTATTATTAGCTTTCCTACAGCCATATTTACTAAGATGACAAATGAACCTCTTAAATGAAAAGGGATCGTTATTCTGGTCTTAATTTTGCTCTGGAGGACAGAAGAAGTAAGAAAGGGCAACATAGCAGAAAACCCAGCTCATTTGGTCACGTTCCGCAGAAATGCAAAAGTAAACTATATAATACTTGCTTGTGAATCCTTTGTAAGCTGCCCCACTAACATAGTGCAAAACTCATAACTTCACCCTTACATCCTTCTATTTTACAAATGTTGTGTTCTTGTCCAGAAAGATCTTGTGTTGCTAAAAGAAGAATGAACTCTTCCCATCCTCCTCTTTACAGCTAGCATTTCACATCTATAAAGTTGAAAAAGAGTGTTGCTTCTCTGAACTATTACTTCATTTCTGGCAGAGAAAAGACAGAACAGTCATGCACTATACAATATAAAAATGCTGTGAATACACTGAAACAAAACAGGATTGAAATAAATCAGGGAATTGTATTCTGCCATCCAATCACCCAAATTTGTACTCTTCACTCATGAGCCCAAGTAACATTAGTGCTTTTAAAGTCTATTCCAGTTCACACGGAACTATCAAAAACATAATGAATAACAAAGTTGTCTGAAATTACACAAAATGCTCCAAAGGAGTGAGTGGTTCTTTGGGTAGACGGTTCACTTCTAAACCTTTGTGCAACTAAGCCATGTAAAGGTAAAGCATTGCTCTCTGCTCCCTAAATACGCACACAATATCTTTAAAAGGCACAGATATAGTTTATGTGAATGCAAACCTTGCCCGCCCTTCAAAGGAAGAACTCGAAAATACTGCAGTCATGTAGGCCACACAAGCAAAGATTTTCTTTGAAGGAATAAACTCACAATGCTCTAAAAAGAGGACAGATTCATGAAAGCATGATCAACTCAAGTAACTTACACTGTTATTCTTTTCTTCTCCTCATCTTGGGACAAGCATGGGAAGTGCTACCACTGAGCATCATGGTTTTGATGTCCAAAAACTGCTCAAGTTGTCAAACTTTCTGAAATAACGAGACTAAAGCTAATGGGTACTACAAAGAGACTGATACATCATGTAGAGTAACTCTTGTATCATCTTGACTCCAAAAAGCCTCTTTTGTCAAAGGTGAATTCCTGTAAAATGTTTTGCATTTTCCTCAGCTCTGTGGCTCATCAATCCTCTGTAAAGACTCACAAAACCCATGGCTGTCTCAGAAGGTTGATTTCTCAGTAGAATGTCACAACATCATGTTACAGTTTCTCCCACAGCTGATGAGGTCAACATCTCCCAAGCATTAAATATTCCTCTACCAAGTTTTCTTTCTAACTGCAGAAATGTTTGAATCCTGCTTGACCTACCTCAATGCATATCTATATTAATGTATCACTGAAAGTGAAAGGAGGTTTTTCTTTTTCTAGAGTCAGGGATACATTACTTGGTTATAGTTGTCAGGACAACTTAAAGTTGTAAGAAAGCTTACGGAGAGAAAGTTTATGCCTGTGTTTTTAAAAATGTACAACACAGAGAAGCATCCAGTAGCCCAGGGTTTTTCTTCTTTCTGCAACCTCTTACAAGTTACATTTAGTATAATTCAGAAGACTTAACCCCTCCTCCCCAGTCTACATAATGTATATTGAATGGGAAGAGGAACAACTTTCTCTGAAGAGCCAATCTCAGCACTATACTGTTGAATAAATAATTGTTCTTGGATTAATGTATTTAGGATTTCTAAATATATCACATAATTTATGCAAAGGCTATGCTGTTTGTCCATCTGTAGATTCTCAATGGAATCATTGCTCTTAAAGCTTTTGTATGGCCACTTATGCATAAAGCAAATGTATGGTTGAAAACTATTAAATAATATATACAATTTTGCTAAGCTCAAACCACAAAGGTTCAAAAATAATGTTCACAGTTAAGCAGCTCAACACATTTTAATTTTAGGGACATGTTTTAAAATGCTGATCTTAAAAAATACTTGAAGTAAATCAGAATTTTAGCTTCTGTATTAAATTCAGTAAATATATTTATGCAAACGCAAATATCTTTGAGACATGCTTCTTTACATGTCCCTTGATATTCTGAAGAAATACATCATCGTTTTATTAAATAAACCAGTTTAGGAGGGACAATGGTGGTGGAAATGACTTACAGGCAAGCTATTTGCCATCTAGTCAGTATGTTTTTTGCTGCCTTCAAGAAAGTCTCTTCAACTGTCAGCTTGTTGAATTGACAAAAATCTTTTAAAAGCACAATTAAAGAAACATTTTTTCATCATCTCCCAAGCTAAAATGTTAACAAATTGTTTTCTTCCCTCTTCAAAATGATCTGAATTGAAATTACTAGAATGCAAGAGTTGTTTTAACAAAAATGGAAAGTTTTCGTAGCTGACAAGTACCTGAAGGCCATACTCACTAACAGTGTTGGCAATAACATCATCCTCACTAGCATCTAAGCCTCAAGTTGTTCTTATTTTAGTGAATGATGCATATTTTGATTGTAAGCACCTTGTTGTAACTAGAGCCAATGAGAAACTTGAGATTTATTACAATTAAGAGCCCTGAAGAGTCACATGAACACTGGTTATTTCACATGGCATCAGAGTAACTATAAACGGTAATATCTGGTAAATAACTGAGGACAGTCATCCTGACAGCAAAAATCTATCAAACTTATGATGATTCCACCAGCTATGTAAGCTAGACAAATTAAGTCTAAAATGGAACAGGTGCTGTGGCAAAAGCCTATATACCTCCTACTTGCTACTAGGAAAAGAGAAAAACACCTTCTCAACAGCTCTGCCTGCATCTATATTGGAATACTTGGATTTAAAAATATGCATTCATAACCTGGACACAAGCCAGAGACACTACAAAGATGATTAAAGGCTTGGCAGGACTGACTTCAGGGACAAGTCTAGAAGGCCTATATATGAATGGCTTAGACAAAATAATGAAAAAATTTGGACATCTGAAGGAGAAGTTGCTATTAAAGATCTTTTTTTTAAGTCTCCTGACAGAAATTGAGAAGTGTCTATACAGGACAGTCTATTTAAAAGCACATTCGTCAGGCCATAGAGGAGGTGTCCTTTTGGGTAAATCTTAAGTGAAAATGCATTCATTTCAACTTTAGAGAAAACTGCATGCTGCACAAACAGCATGCATGGAGGTAATGCTACTTGGTATATGCAGTTGGTCTACCAGCCTGGCTGAAAATATTCTATTGATTTCTTTTTTCACTCTGTGTTAATAGAGCAAGCAGCACATCCAAAGCGTATTTTAAGGCAAGGTAAGTCATTGAGACATTTGTATTGTAAGACACATCTCCCAACCTCCAGCCAATTCATTGCTTTAATCATATAATCAGTCTCACATAATCTACATTAGACAACCTGAAGACATTCCTCTGTTGCAGATATTATATTACTAAAATGAACTGGTAAAGCCTAGCTTATAATTTAGCGTTTGGGCAAATAAATAAATCTCACGACTAAGAGCACTTAGCAACTAGATACTTCCAATCTTCAAGTTTAGCTGCCAAGCGCTCAGCACTTCTGGAAAAAAACAGGCCACCTATTTAGGTGTCTAAATATGGCATTAAGAACCTAACTTTAGCAACTTACTCTCCTCCAGTCTTGGCTAGTATGTTTATCAGCTAGATTAATCATTTAAAATATTTAAAGACACTTTTTTAAAACTGCATTTAAAGCAGTATCTTGAGAATCCAAAATTCTCTGAATGGAAGTGACTGTAACAACGTGACAGCAGTTTAAATACTTAAAATTCTGCTTCACAACATGTGTTAGTTTTAAAAACCCATGTTTCATTTTGGAAGTGTTTTGTTTTAGTTGGAAGCTTTAAGTGCATTTCAAAAATAAATAGAAAAAAAATACGTTTATAAGAGATTGTGCCTTCCTCTACAAGTCACCAGCTGGAGGCCTATGTTCCAATCCAGAAAAATAAAGCTCAGCTTTTAGAAGGGCAGACACTGTGCGTACTGTTTGTTTGAACAAACAGGAAGGACAAATCAAGGTGAAAAACACCCGGACATGCAATGTATTTCCTGAACTCAAAAGAAACCCAGAAACTAAATCGTACTAGTTTTAGTAGAACGTAGGGTGTTTCACTACAATGAAAATACAGCTAAACACTGAACAGTATTATTAAGGTGTTACAGTAGCTTTTAACGTAGTAGTTTGCAAGATAACACGAAACATTAAACTTGCCATCAAAATTCAAATAGGTTTAGCAGTCACTGCAATTTAAGAATATATTAGAAATGGTTAATTATTTTCCTCATCCAAGGAATGTCAATGAAAAAACATGAATATATACAACAATGACTTCCACACTTTGTTTTGGGTTTTGATCATGGAAATGCCTGAAGCAAGTTTTTTGGAAATGAATGGAGATCTGTATCTAGGATTAGAAATATATTTTTATCTTTTTGCTGTATGCTCTCTATTTATTTATTCATTACTTTAGATCACAGAATAAAAGAGAACAATACACAGCTTATCTGATTTCTTGATGTGTAATTTAGGCGCCTAGCTGGAATATCAGGGGCTGTGTATGGCCAGTTCTGACAGGTATGTTCTTCTAAAGTATTAGATTATCTAAATAAGAAGCCTAGATTCTCTCTAAGGACAGAGAAATAGGCCCCTGTATTAAATTCTTAAGTTAGATAGTGTGAATGCCTGCCCTGATTTAACTATTCCTTAATGATGCCAGTAAAAAGTGATACTTGCTTAAATTAATGATCTACAAGGATACAAACAGTGTGGCACAGATAAAACTTGTACGTACAGTTTTGTCTATAAAAGGACTTTAATCAATACAGTTTGTCATCTTAACGACCTAAGGGGGAAAAAAGTCTCTTACAGATATTCACACAAGTAAAATTTGACTATTGGCTTGCCTTTGCTCCCAATTAAATTGGTATTGCCTTGATGTGTGTTAAACTTTATCCAACAAGAAAAAAAAAAATCTTGAGCTCTGGAAGATTCTTCTGAAAGATGTCCTTCATAACTGATAAAAGCAAAAGCAGTTTTACTGCAACCAACATGGCCACTGTGAACACAACTTCACAGGGGATATGTTTCAGTTTTAACTGTAAAGAACAAAATCTGCTTTCATCCTTTCAAGTAATCCACATAATGACTTACTCTGTTATCAGCAATGGTGTTTATTGTCACTGGATATTAGTTTAATACCAAGCAACATTACTTTCATGAGAATTAATGTCAGTTCTATATTGCGGACGAAGCCATCAACGCAAACATCAAGGATAAAGCTGCAAAGGGATAGAAAAGCTCTGAATTTGAGCATGATGCCTGTGTCTCTTGTTTGCATTATGTACATGTTTTAGAGCATCTGGTTGGGCATGCTGAATGTCATTCAGGCTTTTTCTTTTTTTTTTTTTTTTAAAAAAAAAAAAAGAATTTCCAAATTGGTTAGTAGAGTATTAATGATCTGCAGAAAGCTATTCAGTGAGGACACTGTACTGTTTCCATTTTCTAAACTTGACCCAGTTTATTTTCTAAACTCGAACCAGCTAAAGGCTGGAGGACGGGTGCTTTAGCTCATCCCGCAAAAAATAACTCCCGCATTTTAAAAAAACAATTTGTGATCACATGGAAAAGAAATCTGCAAGCCTGTGAATGGTGCATACATGGTCAATAGGCATGCTAGGATCTAGTCACTCTGTGGAAGCCCTGCAAGAAAAAGGTATTTTCTACGTGTATGTAAATGCTTTCAAGTAAGACTTTTAAACTGCACAAATGTAATAACTAGTATTCTTGAATATCTTCTGAAATCGCTACTGTATCTTTAAGAATCCTCAATCTAAATACCTCAACCTTTTATGGAAGGAAAAAGCACAGTATGAATTAACTAGATGGGTGTTTGACAGCATTGCAATTGCCAACATAAGTCCTGATGAAAAGAAGCATGAGCTATAAACTCCATCTCAACTTCTTTGCTGTGACTCTTCAAATTTGGCAGTCACAAGGAATTAACCATTTAATGATAGAATGGCAACTGAAAAATAAGAACAAATTCAGCGTAGCAAAATAATTTAAGGAAACACCCTGTGTTTCCACAATGGCAGTAGATAATGCTGCAAGTTCTTAAATCAGAATATTTTTACCATGTTCTGTAACTTTGGCTTTATATATGCAATGAAGATTTAAACACAGATCTACAACACAAATACTTTTAGACAAATAAGTCTAATTGCTCATAGACAAGACCAATAAAAAAACGGTGTATATTCACCATTTCTCTGTAATACTACTACTACTAAAAAAAAAAAAAGGCATCTATGTAATTATTATAGGGTTGAATTTCAAGGATTTTTTTCTATTCTACTGCATATGACTTAATAGTGAATTAGAAATGATTTAGATTGTATAGTATTCTAGCTAGAATGCAAAAGATTTGGCACATAGATCTGGAAACAAGTTAATCTACACTGGATGACAACTTGTAAAAGCTTTTGAAGGTTAGTCATACTAACCCGTAAAACACATTGAACAAGTTTGTGTATCTGAGACTTGTGCCTAGCTGTGTATGAATTCCAAGGTATGCACCACTGCAGCTTCAATGTATGATGGCATTTGTATCTTTAACTCAGGTCCTTAGTGTAATATGTTTTTACATTGCCTCAGTGTTTACTTTAAAATGTTCCTGGAGTCCTTTTTGGCAAAGCATTAGCAATTTATAGTTTCTTCTTTAATAGGTCAAGTCAATTACATAAAGAATGTCATCTTTTTCTCTCCATCTTTTCACCCAAGCAAAAATTATTCTGTGATATTTCAATTAGCAAGGCTACTTCAGAGAAAAGGTGTTCACAGAACATGGAAAAGCTTGTAACTGTTCAGGTCTGGTGGATATACTGGCAGGAGAATTCAAGTGTGCCTGAAATCACCGTTAGCCTTGTGAATATTGTAGAGCTCACAGGGATAAAATTGATATATGGCCACTTGTGCCAAAAACAGTGAAAAAATGGTCCTAGAGAGCACTTTTTGCTACAATTACAGGTTTCTTGACACAGCTACATTGCGATCAGCTTACTTATTGATGCAAAAACAACTGTTCAGAGTCTGTGACAACTATGACAAACCAAACTCCTGGTTACTCAGTGTGAAACCTTACCAAAGCAGCTATAATACCATTTGCAGTGATAAAAAAAATCATTGTTGATATTTTTCTTCTGTATTATCCTTTTCCTTTTTTTTTTTTTTTTTTTGTAACTGAGTGCAAGACAAAAGAAGATGCCATAGCATAAGAAAAATTAAAGAACATACAGAATTTGGGAAACAATCTGCTATCAACTTTCAAATACATCATTTCATAAAAAAAGTTGTCTAGGTTTTTTGGATTAAAACAAAACCATAGATAGAATGGTAATTGACTTGGGGATCCAAACCAAAAAGGTATCTACTACAAAGAAATGATATGACTAAATAAATACAGACTGGAGCAGGAAAAAAGAACATTTTGCCAACAGTTACCTGAGGCCCAAGGGGCTTGCCTAAAGTCATATATGCAGTCACTGGCAAAATTGAGGAGTTCAACATAGATCTTAAACTTTAAGCCACCCTTCCTCCTGTTTAACACAGGGCTTCCAGCCAAATGATACCATGCAAAAGCTGCTAGGGGGAAAGGGGAAGGAAAAAAAAAAAATAGAAAATCTTACTAACGTGTAAATGTCAGACTGGAATACTAATAAAAGACTAAAATGATGAAGATTCAGAGCTGTCTACAGAAGTTTTAAGAACACCTCTGAACAAGGACATGTGAACAACAAAATCCTGAGCTTAAAGGGCTTTAGAAGCATATGTGGACTTTCCTAGGGAGCTGGGAAAACACTTGCTAGATTAAGCATATTTAGCTCCTCTACCGCTGTGTCAGCAGCTAAGTTCCTATTATACAGTCAGTATTCTCTGTTACTACAAGAATTGTACGTTAATTAATGCATTGAAAATGCTGGGGCTAGTTACAATTTAGTATTAAAACTTTATATAGAAATATACACTTTTCCAACCTAACAATGGGACAGTATTGATTGCTTAATGTTTCTTTACGATGGATAAAGCCAAAATACTACGCAAGATTCTTTAAGAATGCACCGGTTACAAACATCCTTACCTGTAAGGGAAGGAGAGTATTACTGTTGTTGTCAGTTCGGAAAACATTATCTTCAATCCACGATTTTGGTGTCAATGATGGAGTGGAGCGAGTGAATTTAGGAGGAGCTATGACATTACCAGAAAAGGGCTTCTTCAAAGGAGAGATCTGGTTCATAGTTCCTGGAATTCCCATGTTTCCAGTTCTGCGATGGTCTCTGCCATGCATTCCTCCCCAGGATATATTTCCTGTGCTCCAGCCACTACTCTGATTGCTCCAGGGTGACTGCTTCAGAAGAGGCTAAAAAGAAAGATTCATCCACATTATTTTCAAAATACTTGATTGCTTTTTCTAGGTTAAAAAAACACAGAATCATACTCCCCCACATAAAAAAAAAACATTATTTGCTCTTAGATCTTCACCATTTCAAATTCATTCAAATTTAGACCTTCGTTTTAGTAGTAAGTAGGACTATTTTTTACTTATACTGTAAAATATTTCCACAGTTAAAAACTGTTACGAAAAGGCTGAGGACATTTAATCAAACTGATACGATAGTGCATCACAGAGACAGGTCGCTGGAAAAAAAAAATCTGGGATTTTCAAGGGGGCTGGTCACTTTTTTCTCCCTTTGTAATTAGGAAGACAGAATGCTGAGAGGAAATTTAGAAAATTACTCTTCAGATATCAAATTTTTCTCCTGACATTATTTTGAGTATCACTGTCTCAGTATTGACATACAAGAGAAAAAAAAAAAAACCAAACTGATTAATACAAAGAGAATCTGTTTGAAGAAATCACTTTAGTATTTCCAAATTATAATGCATTATTTTGGAACAATTGCTCAAATATTTCACTAGTAATGAACCAGGCTGTCTGTGGAAATCTTCAGGGGTAGAATCTGTTCTTTTGTTGCTGTTGGAAGATTTCTTTCCCATTTAGGAGTGAAGTATTTCTGTATCTAACAAGCTCACTATTACCACGTTTCCCAATCTGAAAACATAAGCTCTCTTCAGAGCAAAGATTTTACAGGATTATGAGTTTTTATTCCTACAACACAACTTGTGCTAAATAAAGTGATCTATAGTGGTTGTTGTACTACCAAGAGGTGGACCCACTGAGCCTGGCTGACAGCAAAGAACAATATTTGTCTTTGCTGTTCTAAAACCTGGCTGCTCTTGGAAATGATTTTCCCTGAAATGTACAAAGGGGGTTCAGGGGGAGGCTCTAAGTTCAGCCCTACTGTACAGGTAAAGCGCAACACACCCCAGAGCTCAGCTGTAAGAGCCCTCCGCTTGTAACTCCAATGACTTAAAAATCTGAAGCATGTCAATATGCTGTGTATAAGATAAAGCAGAACTCCGAAAACACAAAGATAAAAATATAACTTCTCCACCAATGCAAACAAACAAAAAACCTACTGTGGCCATTTTTGGTCAAGTAATCGGGCAAGTATCCCATTCTATATAATTACAGATAATTATGTTGTAAAACTTGAATACTTGGGTAGGAATTTTGGGAGAGGCAGGCACCCTGTTGTGAAACAAACCTTACAGATAATACCAAAGCTTCACAAGCCTCTAATGCTGCTCGCGCTGCTGTCATGGCACTGTTTGAGTTCACCTGCAACTCGCAACCCGGAGGAAATTCCCGTCGCCTGGTGCCAGCGCTGCCTGGAGCTGCTGCGCAGCGCGGACGGCGCTAAGGACAACCCGGGAGCCCCTGCTAGCTACGCACCCGCGCCAGCTCCACAGCAAGTTGTGTAATGATCAAAATAGGTGCTTTATAAAAATGCCGGATTTATTAAAAATGTCAGGGTTTACTACTAGAATGAAAAAAATCAATTAAGAGGCCTGCGCAACGCAGGCCTTGCTGAGCGGACGAGATGCGGCAGGGAGGCACTAGCTCGCGTTCCACGGACCTGCTTTTCCCCGGCAAGGGGCATTTCGGTGCCAGCAGCGCTAACGAACCTCCCCGCAGCGCGGGGCTCTCTCACGGCCCCGGCGGCCGGGG